AAATTGTGATAAATTAGAGGGGAAAACACTGGAGCAGAGGGTGTACAGTGTACACTTGCCACCCCTTTTTAGATCCTTTTTTCTTTTTTTTTTGTGAACACCCCCAACTGAGCCAACTTTGATAAGCAAACTTGCTTGACATCGAGCTGGCGATGAAGTATAGCGAACTCGAACTCTGCTGATTTTGCTGCTGCTTTGGCTTTCACTCGCCTGGCAATTTGATAAAGTTATTACTGGATGCATTTCGGGGCGGGAGCGGGAAAGTCGGTCAGCTTAATTAAGCCAATGAATTATATGCTCCACGCCGCACTCAATGTGGCTGCCTCCTGCTTTTGCATTCATTTTGAACTCTAATGAAGCGTAATTGATGAAGTTTCTGCATTATAAACATGTGATGTCCACTGATGAGTCGTTTTAATCAAATGAAATGCCACGGCTTTTGCTGTTGGCCAATTACACAAATTTGTCGGGTGGAAAGTCAAGTGCGGAAAGTGCCCAAGGAATATTGAATAAATCACACCCAAGGTGTTCGATCCACCCTTTGGTTGCCATGTCTTCTGTCTCTGCTAAACAAATTAATTTCGAAAAGTTCATTTAAAATTAATCTGCAAGAAAACTGCTTTGACTGTACTTGTGGTTAGATTAAGAGGTTTTCCGAAATGCCTTTAGTTAAAATTCCTCATAAACTTTTTTGTTTCTCTACCAGAAATTGCTAAAAATATGGTTTCAATTTAAACGAATTAATAAATATTAAGCTCACATAATTATGCGGTACTTAGGTTTTTGCCTATCAAAATACTAAATCATTTGGACAGTTTAAAAGAATTCACCAAATAGCAGTGGTTGAATAAATATGAAATTAATAAATAATTAGGTATTTAAAATGAATAATAGGTTGAGTGTCCACATTTTAGGCGGTTTTTGATAAACCGCTAGGATGATAATTTGGCAACATTTATTAAATTTAACATGAATTCCAAAACAAATTCCTTTAATTGGGGGATTATCTATGGAAGTGTGGTTGATATGCAATCATTTTATCCTCTCATTAAAAAAGCTTTCCTCAAATGTTGATATTAATATATTACACTTGAGTTCTTGGTAAGTAAAGGTATGTAAAGTAATACACATTTTCGATGAATTTGTACGCACCTAAGCCAAACAGTTGATTCCCCCGACTCCTTTCGTTATTTAATCCTCTGGCTGTGGATTAATTGCAATCAGAATCTTTCGAACTGAACGCAAGGAACCCCGATATAATGTGACTTACTCTTACTAATGGGAAACACAACGTCATTCACTTAATTTGACAGTCTGATCCGCTCGGAGGCATCTGCTCGACCATCCGGCCACCCAAATTGATATGTCTAATTAATGCAATTGAAACGAATTTCTAGCATGCAAATGAACGGCACACATCGAGTGCTCTGGCTTTTGGGCATGTGCTAGATGCTTGGACATGCCTCATTAGCCAAAGTGCCACAAACTTTGGCTCCTCTAATTGAATTAACACTAATGAGGTCTCTCGCACACACTCTGCGACTCTCTGAATCACCCGATCTCGGTGTCCCAGCGAGGTGTGAACTCCCCATCTGGAAAGGAGAGCATCCTTTTTGCCACATTATTCATGCATTCCCCACCACCCAGCCAGCAACCTCGTTCCTTGACGCGATAGTAAATTTAGCAAAAACTAAAACATCGAATGGGGGCGCTTTATGTGCAGGGCTGTCAATCAATCAATTTGGGCATTCAGCCGTGGCCAGGGTTGCCACCGCACCGTTTCGGTTGGTTTGAACATGAGAGATTTTAGTTCGCCAGCAGCCGAAACGAGCTGTAAATTCATTGAGCCACTTAAATTGCACTTAAATTGCTCGGTCGCATCCTAATTGATGCAAAAATGTGGCAAATTCAACTAGTTTTCTTTATTACACTTTCTGAAAGGCGTTATTTAATCGAATAGAAACTTGATTCAATTTATTTCATGTATTTGCGGACTGATTGGTCTTTTGAGTGGCCAAACTCAATTTTATGCCCCTAAGCATTTCAATAAATATTGCATTTAATTGCAAATATTTTTAAGCCCACGCATTAAATAGTTTGTATTGATTAGATATTTTAGGGAAAAATGTATTTTTCGCACCGATGTCTTTTGTAAGCGGATAAATAGGACCAAGTTATATAAACCATTTAATCTTTTTCTTGGAATTTAAACTGTGGTTATTTTGTTAAAATATAAATAATTAGACTAAATGTTTAAGCCAGGCAGAGCATATAAGTTGATAGATAGCTTTTGGGTGCTGAGTAAATATTTAAATGGTATCTGCTTTCACAGCCAGAATTCATAATTCATTCGCCCTATTGGACCTCTCCACCTGTTGGGCATCCGAAATACAATTATCAACGAAGCCAAATCAATATCTAATTTCGGCGTAGAAGTCCAGAGTTTCTGAGCCAGCCGAATGCCATCAATCATGCGATAGACGCCGCATGACATAACCTATCCAGCTGCGTCTGGACTTGCTTCCATCTGTATCTGGATTTGTATCTGTAAATGTATCTGGAGTTTCGGTTTCGGCTATATCCGTGGGCTGCTGCTGCCGTATGAAACTAAACCGTACGTGTGTACACACATATATGCATCAATTAAGCTTTTATTCTAACATAACAATTTTGAATGTGGCCGAAACCAGTTTTGAGTGCGGCCAAGAGGGCCCTAGCCTACGCAGTATCTCATGGATAGCTGTGAATAGTGGCCAAGAGAGGCCACAACAAGCCCACAAAAGATACAAAAATATGTGGACCGTCAACGTCATCAATGAATCTCGAGCGAATCCAGCTCCTTGCCATGCAAATCCCATTTGGCAATGGGCCCAAAGCCTGTGTAATAAATTCCACAATAGACTGTTGATATTTTGATGGACCCCAAGCCGGCCACAAATCAGCCACATTAGCTGGCACGAGACAGCATTCAAATGTTAATTAATCAAGAGCCATAACGAGTTTTCCTTCGCCGGCTTGGATTCCCAATGGATTGACTGAGGTTAGTTCGCCGGATGGATTGACAATTCGCGGTGAATGTGGCGTCAGAAGCCGGAAAAAATCACCTTTTTCGTTTACTCCTTGGCCAAGTCAGAGCTGATCTTTTTGAGCTCACAAAAATAAAAAAACAGAAACCAATGAGAAACAGGTTGCGGCTACCGAAGAAGAAGAGGACGTTCTGGCCAGGATGATGGCCCGCAGCCGAAGTGACTGCCGGTTGTAGATTGCTCTTAACCTGGTCGAGACAGCTGCAAAACCGCCAAGAGAGCCGGGCGCTAACTAACTCATTTCTTGCACGGAAAAATATTTTATTTGTGTTTCGTAAAGATCGTTTATTTATTTTTGATTTTATTCTGGACCATATATCAAAAAGTACATTTTTAAGGAACCTCATTGTTCAGAAAAACATAAAAACTATAAAAATTATTATACAAAATAAAATCCACAATAATCCAAATATCAAAATAATACCAGATATCATGTATGGATCGCATAAGACTGAATACAAAGTAATTTGTATTTTTTTCTCTGCACCAGCCGCAAGAAGAACGAAAAAAGGTTGGTAACACGCCGAGAGAAAGAGAGAAAAGTAGGGAGCGAGGAGCAAGTAGCAGAAAACCAGTCTTACAACAATTTTTCAGCTACTTGCCACTGGCAGGCTCGAAATGGACTTGACTCGACTCTTCCAATTGCACCAAACACACCGCATTCCAACTAGAAAATCATAAAACATAAATGTGCGAGAGTATCTTCCCGTTGAAACAGGCGTTCAAACGAAACAATGGCGCTGTTAATGGCCTCGAATCTTAAATCCATCTTAATAAATTGGCAATCCGACAAAATCGTCGAGTGAATAATGTATCCAGCAGATATGTTTGTCCCGGCCTGCTGAAATATTTATGCGCCAGACAAAGGGCGCAGATACAAAGATACAAGCGCAAAGCCAAACTCCCATGGACAAGTGTGAAATGCAGGGAAAACAAAGCACTTGCAATGCTCAGATACAGATACATTTGTATCTCGTGCAGGCATTTGATTCCATTCCACGATTTCGGTTATGTTTTGACCCGACTCTCCTCCTTTTTCTCCTCTCTCTCTGTCTTTGCGCCCCACGTTTTAATGTGACTTTTATTGTGCTTCCTCCTTTTGTTGTCTCATTTGGTATTCAGTTTTATGTTTGTTTAGAGCTTCGCGTTTGTATCTTTTGTGGCGACTCTGAACTTTAACAGTTGCACTGTGTGAACGGCGGACTTCGGCTTCATTGGCCAACTGTTTGGGCCAACTGCTAATTGGAGATGGCCAAGAAAGAGGCCCTAGGTTTAAGGGCCCAATTGGATCGCTATTTTATTGCCGAAGCCTTAGAGCTGAAAGCGGTTAATTAAGAGCGTCTTAAATCGAAAATATTTTGGAGGGAGTCAGAAGTATGTTTTAAACTCGACATTCTAGTTAAAAGCTCTCTATACGGTTTCAGAATTAATCCTAATTTATCAATATTACGAAATATTTAAAGAGATAAGAAACACCGGAATGTAATTTACAAAAAACTTCCTATATAGCATTAATAAAAACATTATAAATTCATTTTAAAGCGGAGGGAGTTTAATCCTCTGATTAGGACTGGCCCGTATTACAAAATCATACCGAAATTCTAGCGAAATTTAAATTGTTGTATAATATTTATGAGGTCAGTTAAACCCGCCATGTCTGAAGTAAAATTCATTTTATGTAAACATGAAATAGGTACGCCTTTCGGAATAACTCGTTAAATCCGAAATTTATCTAAAAGAGTTAAAGTCCTCCTGTAGGACATGCAGTATCCTGTTGGAACGACACCTGTCATATGTCATACATCAGGTGTCATGCGACGCACAATCCCCATTAGAATGCAGCCGCATGGCGCCCACAGACACAGATATGTACGTATATCCTAGATATATCCTGGCTGGAACGTGTGAACTTACAGGCCTTTGTTTGCGCTGCCTCTGGATTTCCACGCGTCGGTGGCCAATAATCCGCTTTAGCTGCACGGCTGCATTGTTAAATATTTATAATATGGAATATGGCATTTAAATTCGCGCACCTTGTGTTTGTACTATTAACACAATATATTATAATTAGCACTCGCCAGTGTGGCTGGCCTCACTTTAGCACTGTTTAAACTGATTTAACTATTTTGATTCCGGGGAATTCCGTGTGTGATATAGTAGCAGGCTATAACTATAACCCCAACCGGTAAGCTAGGTATTTTCACGGCGGGAGGGGCGGCAAAAGGGGGTGGTTGCTGGGAAAAGCCAACGCACTTTTCGGAAAAGAGCAGGCGAGGAAAAGACCGCGCGCAAAAATTCACAGAGAGCGGGGACTGTTGGCGAAAAACCGGTAATTTCGAACCTCGAAGTTGTTACTTTGTGTTTGCGTTTACCTCTTGCTTTTGGCTTTTCGCTTGTCTTTGAATTTTACTTTGCAGAGACGCGCACGCGTAGCCCCGAGTGGAAAGTAGTGGCGATTTTGCTGCCCAAGCGCTCAAACGCGTCCAATCGGTCCGGAGTCGCAGCGTTAACTGGCAAAACCAGAATCAGAAACTGAGTTCCTAGCCGAAACTGAAACTCAGCCGAAGCCAGTTCGTGCATCTGATGGTGGTGGTTTTTTTGCTGCAACATCGCCGAGGCACTCGCAACATGTTGCTGGGTCAAAGCAAACTGATATTCGAATTAAATTGAAGTTTCCTTTGACTGATTACAACTCTTTATTAATTTGAACCCCTATTAATTTTAATTGTTTTTTATAACAATTATCCAAAAATTTAACTTTGTAGGATTCAACTTTAAATATGCATTTTTATTTTGCAATTTTAAATTATGAAAGCAATTAGAATTGCTTGTCGGAATATATTTTTTAAGTTTATTTGTTGTAAATTTTCCAGCACTAGACTCAACTGATAACAGTTTTTACTGCTGGACCTATTAATATTGGTATTTTTCAAGTACATATACAACTATTGACGAGTTGAAAAAAACATACATTTCATATATACAAAAGAATTGATACCAACCTGTGCGACGAAAAATGATTACAAATTCGAGTAACAAAATTTGCTATTTTTGTACCTGTACAGATACTGTAGAAGCATAACTTAATTTTCTTTGCTTTTTTAAATCGGACAATTCATTAAAAAGTAATGAGCAAAAAATGCATTTTCGCTAGGTGGCGCCACTTTAAACGACTGCCTGCTTTGCTGCTGCATATCTCCATCTATTTCACACTTATTTAGCTGAGTAACGTGTATTTGATAGTCAGGGCACTCGACTATACCATTTACTCTTGATTAAAATGTTCTCATTCTGCTCTCAGCAATAAAAATGTTCGAGTAGACAAGCTCCTTAAATACTTTGCTGATGACCAAAAAATTAAAAATAATTACGTCACTGTCCCGTTAAGATTCGTCACAACTTGGACAGCCAGAATGAAACGGAATACAAAAAAATCAATCCTATTATTTTCTCATTCATTTGCCGATCGTTCCCATTTTTTTTCATTTTTTAGGTCCTTTATCTCACAATCCTTGCGTCAGGGAATTTTTTGGAGAAGACAGTTCAGTTCAGAATTAGTTTTGTAAAACAGTGTCATTTCCAATTATATTTTTTAGCCGTTGACAAAAAAAGCTAATTTGGCCGGAAAAATACATGCACTAGTTGAAATTCAAACCCCACACGTTAAATATTTTATACCCAAAAATTGATTAACATACAGAGAACAAGACATTAAAATAATATTTAATTAAATTAAATGTTTTCTCACTTCCACTTGTAAAGCTGAATATAAAATAATTGTTTAAATTCAATACTACAAGAGCAGACTGTGAAATCAATCAAAAATTAGCATAAATACGAAGTGTGTAATAACAGGTCGTGTTTATGTTATGAGATTCAATAGTCAATAGTTTCAATTACGAACCCATTAGAATGAACAATGTATTAAGGTCCTGTAGGTATTCCAAACATTTTCATGTTCCTCGGTTGCTGTTCGATTAGATTTCCATTTATCAAATTATGCAAAATATTTAATGCAATTTAGTTGGCAAGGTCCGGCCGAATGGGCCAACATATGCTAAGAGCCAGAAACCGAACACGCTTTTGGCCCACAAGGGCAAAGCCGTTGGTTATGGTAATGCGAGGGGGCGTGTGTGTGTGCCGGAATTTATAGGTTACAGGAAGGTGTTGGCCAAGACAACGTCGCTCGGCCAACATCTCTAACTCGGTCCAGATGACGTGGCCCGATTCCTGCCGAACAGGACCCAGTCGGTGGGATTTGAGGGGGAGAGCGGACCGAATAGGAAGGCTTCTTGCATGTAATTGACATTGGCCCCTTGCGTTTGATTAATTGCATTTGGTTGGGGCTCTTCCAAGCCATTGACTCGGAATGCTCCGAATTTCGCCCATTGATCTGTATCCTATGTAACCTTGTGGCCATGTGTACCTGCATCAGTAATCTGTAACCGTTTCAATTTGTATCTGTGTGCTTTTTGCGGGGCAATAAATTCGACATGTTCGACATGCTTTCCAATTACTGAGCGCTGGCATTAAACAAATGCAGCACACTTGACACACGTCGAAAGCCGGCAGCCCTTTTCGGAGATTCCGATCTAGAAGATGGGACAGCAGGACGAAAAAAAAACCATCCTGCAGGATCCAGCGACTCCAGCCAAGCAGAGAAAGCACTAGAAAAAAATCAATAAATTTCTTTAACAGGAATAAAAAATTCATATTTTTCCAAAAACAGTTTGATTTTCTGTGTTAATATAGTTAGGGTAGAAGGTTTTCTTAAAACTTAAACACTAAAAACCATATCCTAAAAATTCAGAAACTTTATTAACTTTAAACTCGCCTTTAAGATGTAAAAAGTAAATAAATTAAAATTAAAACTATTTTTTTAGGATTTTAAATTCAACTAATTAGGATACTTTTAAATTTATTTTAAACTGCCATTTTAATTTATTGATTTTTTTTAAATTTAATATTTTTCTTTGATTTAATTTACTACTCCTAATTTGTTTTTCGCTGTGCAGGACGAAGACACTTGTCTCTGCATTTGCTTTATGCAAGTGCCGCCTGCGAGCGATATAAAAACCCCCGGAAGAGGAGGAAAACGAAGGGGTATTGCTGCCGCTTCACTGAACCTCAATGGTCGTCTGGGGGGAGGGGCGGTAAAGTGGGGGTGGGAGTGGGCGTGGGCGGTCAGGGGGTCCGGGGTCAGAGTGGGTGGTGCTGCCAACCAAGAAACATAACTCAACAATGCTAAGGACGACGGCAGCGAGCAAAAAGCGCAAGCCGAGGAGCCACAGGCTGCATCTTCAGAGGAGCAATTTGAGCGTTCTTACGCTCGACAAACGCTGCCCATGCATAGTTTATGATCCCCCCTCATATCTATGCATTTTGCTGAATTAAACCAACTGCACAGAATGTCGCAGATAATTCAATGCACCTACACACAGCACAGTTTTATGGCCCTCATCCTCGACGTCGTTCTCGTCCTTCGACGAGGAGGAGTCGAAAAGTGCCACGAGGGTAATTTAAAAATCCATTTGTGTTTTGAGATTTCGCCGGCGGGACCTGGGAGATGGAAGCAGGCCAACAATTGCGGTGAGCGGTGGGTACGCAAAAAAATACAACAAAAATTAGAAAAAACGAAAAGGCATGCTGGGAAATTGGCGAGAGCGGAAAATGGAAAATGCGAATGACTAGATGACTGCCGACTACCGACTGCCCGACTTGACTGCGTGACACAATTTCAATTTGCATTGACAGCATGAATTATAGCAAATAATCCCCGAAGGCAAATGCGATTTTAGTGATGCCAAGAGCTCCGGTTTCACAGTTTCCCAGTTTTCCCAGCATCCCAGCTTCCCAGTTTTTCAGACCCGGGTCAAACGATTTCCTGGGAGCTGTACCGCGGATTCCCCGTCCAGCTGTTATTGATATGGAAATGATGCGCACACCAAAAATAGAATGTTGCCCGAGGAAAAACAAGCAAACTTGCGAAAATAAAGCAGAGCAGGACGCGACGAAATGAAATAAAATAAAACAGCGACAATAAAAGCAAATAAAATTTAAATTTTATGCAACGGCAAGGGCAGTTAATTTTGCTCAACAGAATAGCTAAACGAGCGAAGAAAAACCAAAAAAAAAGTAATGGCACTCACAGGCAGATAGCAAAGGAGGAAGAGAGATAGCCACCAAGAAAGAGAAGGGGATAGAAAATAAATTGTCGAAATTGGAGAGAAAGCTAATGAGGAAAAAACCAAAAGCACAAATATGAGTGGGCCGTAGAAAAAATGCTGAACAAGTTAAATAAAGCCATTGAAATTCAAATGTCACAAGTAATTTGCTCCACGCTCAGCAAACTCGATTAAACATTCAATACATACCATTGAAAAAAATGAGTTGAGCCAAATTGGGAACCACTTTAATTTGTGTCTATTGTTCAAAAGTCAAGTTGCAAACTCCCAAAAAATATTACTAAAGTTATAAAGCTTTTACATGGTCATTAGGGCGGTTTTTTATAAGGAATTTTTATCTCACCCTTTTAAACACAAGATATTTGTGCAAAATAACTTAAACTAAAATCCAAAAAATTTTAAAGTAAGTCTAAGGGCTTGCGCAATGGTCTCAAAGATTCCAAAAAAAATTACTCATACGGCACGTAAGCCAGTATGAGTTTTGGGTAGGTAAATCTTTTCCCATATCTACACTTGTCAAATATTTGATTTCGTTCATAATCGTTAACAAAATGGAGAGCACCTTTTTTTGGTTGGAAAGCTAAATTTCAATTTTGATGAAGAAGAAACTTTGCCGTCAAAGAGGACCGTACTTTGCTCTACAGGACAGTTCCTCTGAAACAAAGTTTCTTATCTGAAAGTGCTCAGCTTGTTGCAAAAATGCTAGTTAGCGTATGGGAGAGCAAGGAAATTCGAGTACGTCCTTTGACGAATAACGCGACTTAACAAGAAAAGACAGACGGACATGGCTGGATCGACTCTCCTGGTGATGCTGATCAAGAATATATAGTCGGAAATCATTCCTTCATTGCGTTGCAAACTTTTAACTGAAATTATAATACCCTGTACCCTATAATGTCTGTTTGTATGAAGGATTCAATAAATGTATATCTAGACGATTTTGTTGAATAATAGTCCACGTAATTCATTAGACTACGAAAACAAACTAAAGTAAAAATTTAGGTTTCGACTTGGGATCTAAACTTGTTATAAAACCCTAGCAAGTGTTTTTTTGGCCACGATACGTACATTAAGATTTTTAAAAATATCTAAATAGCTTTTTATCCACATATTCTGCATATAGTTTGGGGGCGATAAATAAAAAAACAAGAGAGAACGCTATAGTCGGGTTGTTGTCCCGACTATCTAATACCCGTCACTCAGCTAAAGGGAGTGCGAACGCTGTGTCGGGTTGGTGTCCCGACTAATAATCGTAACTCAGCTAAAGGGAGTGCGAGGGAGATAGATATATAATTTTTGATTGCGTATAACTTT